ATCACCTTCCAGCATACCCAGAAGAAATCATTCGGGATCGGAACTCACTACTGCAGTAGCACCTACTCAGAAGGAGTAGCGCATGTCCAATCTTAAACCCTATGCTTCATGTCCTTTGTTTTATTTCTATATTGATTTTGTTTTACTATTGACTCTCGGAGAATTCTTTGTAGATTTATTGGAGTCTAAGTGGTAGTCTTTATTCTTATCAGTTTAAGCACCCCATAGCCCAAATAAATTTATTGTTGCCCATTTTAGACTGATTTTTGAAACTAGAACCAAGCCTTGATTTTCTGAGAAGCAAACTGGCACCCATTTGAAACAAGCGTACGATGTGATCTAGGCCATTCTTTTATAAAATGGCAAGCCTATCAACAATCCCTGTAAGCCTTGCACCTATCCTAAAAAGAAAATTCCAGTGAGGACATTGTACCATCCAGTAGTGTGGGGAGAGGAGTTGTACACTCCAACTCTCAATGGGATGTTGTTTCACATCCACACTGATTCCTCTTAACAGGAACCTAGTAATGTATTTGACTAGGTGTCCAAGGTCACCCATATCATGTTCCTTCAGGCCCAAGGTGCAAAAAAGCACACACGGGATAGTGATGTAGCAGTGGCTCCTTCGTCCTGTTACTAAAGTCTAAAAGAGGTAGAAATTGTAGCGCCCCAGTATATCCCTTAAAGGGTGGGGGGTGATAGTTGATGGCACCAATGAAGCAATTGTCAGTGAAGCTGTTTACTAGAGGAATAGTGGAAGCAGGTATTACAATTTCTATAGTATCTGTTTCAGACTCTAGTCTTGATTCATATAGAATACATTTGGACACTAGCTAGAGGCTACCAAGACATGCAAACACTATGCTTGTTCCTCATATGATGAGGTGGAAGAGGTGCATATTTCTGTTGCATCACCTTGTGGTGTCTAATCTTCCACAACGGTTGCAGAAGATCATGTCTCCTTGGAGGATTCCAACAGCAATTCAGACGAAGATCTTCCATCCAACAATCTCTCTTTGGAGCCTATCCACACATCCGGCCTTGGTCTCAAAAGGCCTACCTCATAGTTGAGGAAGTTCCAGCTACTGAGAGGCTGAAATAGATCCAAATTAGAGAAACCCTGCTTACCATGATGGTTATGACATTATTGAAGAGATCTATACTACAAGAGGAGATTTCAAAGCTATACCTACAATGTTGGTTATGACATTATTGAAAAGATCTCTAATAATAATGAATATTGGGCTTATCCACATGCCCTAGTACCTAGAAAATCATCTACGTCCATGAGGTAGATGACTGATTATACAACCTTAGCAACACAACTCACTGACATGGCGAATATGATTAAAAATCTGACATCAAGCCCAACTATGCACCCTATTGCTACAACCTCCACTCCTACTGTTAATTATATGCAATGAGTATTACGGTGAAGGACACTTATTTGAGCAAATGTCTTTATAGTTTGGAGCTAGTAAATTATGTCAATAACTGGAGCTTATTCCCAAATACAATCCAGGTTGAAGACAACATCCTACTTTTCTTCGAATAGACCCACACACATTATGAGCAAGGGGTACTTACTAAAGCCACAAGGACCATCAAATTTCCAAACACAAGCATACCAAGGCACTAGTAACAATCAACAAGCAACAAGTCAAATCAGCAAGTTAAATCATCTACTTCTATGGGAGCGATGATGAAAGGGTTTATAATCCAAACTTAAGCTATTTTGAATAAAAAATAAGCTACCATAAACAATCTGCAAGCTTCTATGAAACCTTGAAACACAAGTTGGACAAATGGCTTTGGAATGAGACACCGTGAGACCCATTAAGAGTGTTGAAAGAACATGTTAAGGTAGTAACCTTAAGAAGAGGAAAGAATCGAACAAGTACTACAACATCACCACCTGTTGCTATACTACCTCTGACTCAGTCTTGTAGTACCCCTGGAACACAAGCAAGAAAAAGTCTGATGAATCAATTTCCATTCCTAAAACATCAGATTTTCTTCTACTATTCGCTGATGATTTTCATCAAAACAAGAAACCTCAAGGTGATGCTTAGGATGTGTCTCACCTTCTGACACCATTCTTATGGTACCATCTCGGACATAACCAAAACTTATTCTTCAAGCAGTTCGAGATCATGTTCTTAAAAAGGATGCAGTTTCTACTCGAGTTACTACCTATGTAACTGACCTCCAAAGGTTAAGGAATCAAAGGGAGTAACTGCATTAAAAAATTGATGTTTTCAAACAATTGCATATAAACATTTCTTTGGTGGAAGTCATTGAACAAATGCCTAGTTATGCAAAGTTTTTAGAAGACATTTTGATAAGCAAAAAGAAAACACTGAGTGAGTATGAGACTGTAACCCGACATTATGATGTTATCTCAACATGACCATCCGATCGCATTCCTCTACCAAAAGGTTGTGCCCCCATGTGCAATAAGCATCCTCCTACACTGATGAGTTATCTAGCATCACCGAGGAAGTCAAGAAATGGCCACAATATCTCATGCGTCGCAAATTTCGCATCAACATGGATTGGCATAGCCTCCGCGAACTTCTTAAATAAATTGTACAAGCACAGGATCAATATAAATGGGCCACAAAAGAACTGGATGATGAGTTCGATGCAGGGCCGAAAATAATAATAAAATGTTTTTAAACCTATTTTTTTAAGCCAATAAAATAATGAAACATGTAGTTTTTAAAAAGTTTAGAATCTATTTAAGCTAAATGTCTCATCCCCATATTGATTTTATTAATTATAATAAAAAAATACAATAGGGGGACATAAAAACCAAAACCCCGAATACAAAAAGATTGATAAAAGGATAAATACTAGATTAAGATCATGCTTCTTCTTTTCCACTTTTCTTTTTTCCAAATTGAAATTAGCAAAATAGAAATTTTATTTCAATATATGGGACTTAAAAGACAAGGACAACTATAATTAGTTTTAACTAAAATAGTAAATTACATCCAAATTACTGTCATAGTAAGCAAAAATAAAACTCAAAAGTTACAAGTCTAACAACCAAAGGCTAAGGGCCTGTCTATTAGCAGCTTAATAAGCTTAATGGGACTAACAACTTATTCGCTCAACTATGCATGACTGTTTCGTAGTGGCTTAATGATATCTAAAGTGACTTATCCAGTAAACTTCTAGTGGGAGCTTTATATAAAAAGCCAAGTTTTTTTTTTTTCCAAACATGCCTCTTCCAACTAAAAAAACGCTCTTTATATCTGCGAAAAAAATCTCCTAAGCAAAACCTTTCTAACTTATACAAACAAAATAATTCATAGAGACAACTTTATCCATATAGAACTTAATAAAACTCAATCAAACGGCCCCTAAATCTAATGCGGTAATGTCAAATCTCAAAGTAAACAAAAGACAAAAGAACAATAATAAATTGTAAAATTCATAATCTATGTTACTGTGCATTGCAAAAAACAAGTGCTCAATAACTAAGATAATATCACAATATGTTGTTAATGTTATGCAGTGTGCTCGAGCTATATTAATACAATGATGTGCTCATGTACATTGAAAATTTCAATTCTCAGATATTTCAATATGCAAGAGGAAGACTCATTATCAAAATGACAAAAGCCCTTAGCCTTAGCCTAGTAGATTAGTAACCCACACGACCACATGACCCAACTTTATAATAATCAGTTAGAAATTTAGATTTTTTTTGCAAAAAGATTTTTAAGATTCATAAATCACAATATGACTCACACAGCAACTCAGTAAGTTCAATCAACAGTAGAAACCAGTCATTCGAGATGTCCATCTTTGATTTATTGAATCTAATTTCATGACCGTTAATCGGCTGGAAAGAGAACTTCATGCCTTGAAAATCGAAATAGTCGAACTTTGAAGTACAATAGAAATTAGATTGAGTTGTTGGAACGATGGTGTTAATCAAATCACAATGTGCATTTAGTATTTATCACTATTATGCTTTGGGCCTGTTATTATAGTTAAAGCTCAGTTGTCTAATAACCCAAAACTAGTAATAGATGACAACTTGATGCCCCTTTAGGCTTTGATGCCCTATGCGGCCGCACGGGCTGCACGTGGCTAAGGCCGGCCCTGGTTCGATGTGATCTATAAATTAGGCAAATAAAATCGCGTAGTTGACATGTTAAGCCAAGTGGATGAACGAGTACTCCTAGCCATTTCGGGTCCAATGTTTCCACGGTTAGCAACCATCTGGAATTATATAATCAACCACAACGAGGGAATTTTATGGATACACAAGTTCCATACTGAACGAGGTGGATTTTGTAGACCATCGCATACACAAAGGCCTCATCTTAGATGATTCTCATTTATCCACGACCGGTGGCCATTCACGAACCCGGGCCACCGGTTGTCGCTTCCTCCTATTGGCCAAGTATGAAGCAAACAATATCCGCGAGGGCCTAACTTGCCATTCGGCCTCCTTCAATCCCAGCCAATTCCTAACCATATTTGGGAGGAAATTTCGGTGGGCATCATCACCTTCATCACTCGGCTACCCCCTCCCAAGACAAGACAACAATTTGGGTCTTCTCAACCGTCTCTCCAAATTCACCCATATCATTGTGTTACCACCTCACTATATTGTCATCGTGTTTGCAAACATTTTGCTTACCAACATTTACCGCCTTCAAGGCATTACCTAAAACAATGCTCTCCAATCGTGAGCCGTTATTTATAGGACGATTTTGGCGAGAGCTATTCAGACAATTAGGCACCACATTACTTCACTCAAGTGCCAACCACCCTTAACAAACAGTCAAACCGAGGTGGTAAACGGCAACCTCCAATGATACTTGTGCTGCTTTGCTAGTGACGAACATAAAACTTGGTTCAGGTATCTCCACTTGGTGGAATACTAGTATAACATTTGTTACCTTAGTGCAGCTGAGATGACACCTTTTCAGGCCCTCTACAATTACCCCACAACAACACTTCTATCCAACACTCTCCGGACCACACTAATTGCCTCCATCGATACCATAGTGGTCGAATACACCCGTATAGTGAGAACTCTAAGCAAACCTTAAATCAAACTCCACAGCAAATGGTCGATCAAGCCAACGAACATCGCCAAAACAAGGAATTCTAAGTGGGCAATCTTGTTACCTCTGCCTTCGTGTCCATCGACAAAACAGTGTTTCAACAAGCTTCACCAAGCTAAGGGGTTGTTTGGCCCCCTTCGGGTATGTCATCCATTGTAAAAGTAGCTTATTGACGTAGGTAAGAAAAGTATCCCCTGTATGGTATCTTCTGTAACTGCCTTGCACAACCTTAATAGCACAACATAATAGAATTTTTACTACAAATCAGAATTTTTAGTATGTGCTAGTTACTATAGCTTTTATTGCGTTTGCTATTAGGTGTCCAATATTCATATTTAAACATGTTCATATACATTTGCTAAGAGCTCCATATATAGACATCCATATACACGTGTGGTTGCTACAGATGTTTCAAAAATAACGTATATATTAATTAACATATCGTAATTCAAAACTTCAGTCAAGGTACAAACCAAAACTATTCACATTTTCACCCAAACTCAAAAGTGAACTTCAGATTTCCCACATGAATATACACCACCTGCGGGCTACAAGTTGGTATGCATATTTCAAACCAGCCACCTGACACAATGTTGTTCAGGTCGCTTCAGAAAGTATATTATTGACTTCAATATCATGTTCCACAAGATTCATCAGCAAAAGCCAGTTCACACACAAGAGCAAGATGATCACTTCCCCATATCTGCAAAACAAGTAGAATAAGCATAATCATCGGGGGTAATTCAACATGTAAGGCATGGGATTTGCTCCCCAGTAGTCCCCGGTTAGAGTCCCCTAGGGTCCTATGGGATTATTCGAGTTGGGCACAAGTTGGCTTGAAGATCCACGGTTAAAAAGAAAATAAATAAGCATCATTAAGGGGGCAACCAGTTAGGTTTGATTAAAACATTACAGCTTCATGCAAAAGGAAATTACATCCAAAACCAGCAATTCTGTTTAATCCTGATGATTCTAAAGCATCGATTATTGGGATTTTCAAAAAATTGCAAGCCTTCCTATAAAAAAACAAACCACACACATCCAGTATGTTCCACACGGATGTAGGGCCTGCGATGTGATGTACGCAAACTTGTCCTCTAACCCAAAGAATAGAACGGTTGTTTTCTTGAATACCCCGGGCTTGAGAAAAGGTGTACTGGAAGAAGAGTTTGGTAAGAACCCGATGCTTCAAAATTTTGTGGAAGAAGTTGAAACGTAGGGAGACACTTGAAAAGGACCAACTACTTTAACCATAAACAGTAAACCGCCCAAAAAGAATACACAAGTAACCAGCCTTGCTAACCATCATGCCATTTTGGATAAATTGTGAAATGCATATGCAAAAAGCCACTTTCTGTCCAAAATCATTCATTCTTAAAATCATAAGACTTCTTTCCTTCTAAACTTTAGCAAGAAATTCGTATAAAATATAAAATTTCAAGGTGAAGGCATTCACAAAATAAATTCACGGTGAAGGCAAAATCACTCTCACATATACAAGAACCTTTTCAAGGAAAAAGCTCAGAACTATCAATTTCAAGAAGCAAGCAGTATACCTAAAGCATCATGAGATATAAGAATCATCGTTGGGAGATCATTTATCAATATGCACAGCATTGAAGACTCGCTAAAAAAATTGAGTTACATGGATCCTATGTGTTTTGGCGCACTTTTATTGTTTTCATTTCATGAAATCCATTTATATGGTGTGTGAAGTAGATAAAGAAGCCCCAATCAAGGGTGTACATGTACCTTACTCGGAAGCCCTTTTGTTTTCTTCAGAATTTCAATCGGTAATGTTTCAAGAACTTTCACAGGAACAAGTTCCTTGGTATGCCTGTGTGAGCAGATACAAAAGCAAAAGAAAATACACATTCAACTTTTTAGAATAATGCTTAATATATGCCTAAAAGATTGGGTTTTAAGCATACCATATGTAATCAACAGTGCCCATAAATCTGGAGTGGAAGGATGTCGCTAAAGGTTCTCCATGACTATCTCTTGTCAAACGACTAGCCTGAAGAAATGAGTACAAAGGAATATAAAACCATCATCAAATTAATCCATTTATCTAGCTACATCTTAGTCCACAGGTAAAATACGTTCCAAAATATTGCCACAACTTTGGAGTTAAAAAATAGTCTCTTGTGAACCGCAATGAGAGGTTGCATATGAACACATGCCAAAGAGGTAGAGATACATGTAACATTGTATGCCATCAAGTAAGAGTGTCTGTAACCAAGCAATGAGTACACTTAACACACAAGGCAACGCATTGTGCACAGGGGGCATCCCACCAAATGACCCTCCCTTCCAGTGATAAAACTATCAACTCGTCTTACAGGAGCCAATCACAAACAACAAAAATTAAAAATAAAAAACCTAGGAAAGTGGAGAATAAAAACTTACTGGAACTCCATGGTATGCACTATTCAGTTTTAAGTTGTGCCTAAGGTATACCGACTCTTCTGTTCCGGTTGCTAGCCTTAGTTCTTCTTTACTCCATCTATGTAGTAATGGCCTAGAGACATACATATGGAGCCTGCTTAGTCAATAGAAGTAGCACATCTGATTTTATGCTTAAATACTCGGAACAAAATTCTCAGCCAAAAGTTTGATAACGAACCTAGAAGAATAATTACTTTGAGATGGAAGTCTCGGGTGATCCAACGGACAAATCTGCCCAGATATTCTTTTGCGTTCATGGTGTTGGATGTTCAACTACAAAAGAAATTAGACAGATAACTAAACAAAAATATTAGATGTTGTCACTTGGTATTACATTCTGAGATGGACCACATTAAAGATAGAAATAAATGACATAAATCTTCTCAAGAATACCACTCAATCTGTAGGTATCAGATGTAAAAACATTTTTTGCATTTTTGGACCTTACATGAAGACTCTCGTCCTAATTAAGTCTCTGCTTGTTATTTTTGATATCGTCGGTTGGAATGTTTTGCCCACCTTGCCCTTTTAAAATGGTATTATTGTCATAACAATTCCCACTCTATTTTAATCAATTTCTTCCTCCCCTCTCTAGTTAGTTGTCTTCTTTCTCTCTTCCCAAAGCTTTCTCTCTCATCTTCCTTCTTACTCTCTTTTATATGTACCAGATTTCTTGCCACTTACTAGTCTCTACAATAGCATACAAGAGTGTACAAACGTTGGAAATGCCACTTGGGGCCCATTTGGTTCGCGGGATTTGGTAAGATTTGGAACTGAATTCCATCCCAATCATGTGTTTGGTTTGAATGAAAGTTTGAATTTGAAATCCCACAACCAACAGATTTGGAAATCCCTTGAAGGTTTGTCATTTCAAATCCAAATCCCATGGATTTCAAAATTTTCCCTCGTATCTCTAACCTGCCTCTTTCATCAAAGCTGCCCTAATCTCTTCATTGCCTCCACAACTTACCAAAACAGACAGACTATTTATAAAACAAACAAATATTTAACCAAAAATAAAATTCAATTCCAGTTCCTACAAACCAAACAAGATTTATAAAAGAATGGGATCCAATTCCATTGCAAATCCTACAAACCAAACACACCAAAGATTCCAAATCCTCTCACGAAATCCAAATCCCTCAAAAACATTCCATCAAACCAATCAGGCCCTTAGTGTTTTCATCATTTTGCATCACTCATCCTAACTAAAACTTTTTGTCACCTCTCTATCTGTTCCTCTTTTACTAGACTTAGATTCGCACTTCCCATCTCAAAGACTTGCCTCTTTTGATCACCTGTCTACAATAAGTTTATGTCCATCTTTTGGGCTAAAAGTTTGGATAATGCCATCTGTTTGGAGGATTTCTTTAGTTTGATTTGATAAAAGCTAATTTCAGAAATAATGGCCATAATGATCAGAAGGTTTGGGGAAAGTCGTTTTTTCTATTGTTGGAAACTTCTTGTTTCACGGCTAACTGAAGAGCTGAGCTGACATCACAGATAAGTTTTGTTTGCGCAGCTTGTTCATTTCTTTGGGTTTAGGTCAGAAATCAAAAGGTCAGCCGTTAGCTTAATTAATAGACGTCAATGCTTAAATTAATAATCCCAGAGACTGTAACAAACTTTTGGAGAACAAAATTGATTTAAGAACATCATAACTTTGACATGAAAAACAGAAGCAGAACTCAAGAAAAAGTAAGGCCATCTTACCCACCAACATAGATAACTCATCTACCATGAGAAGACAATGGTATTGGGCAAATCCTAGTGTTTCCCTTGGCAATCAAATGGCAGCACCCTAGATAAACTCACCAAAAGGAAGTGAATATATGATTGTGCCTATTTCCCACCCATATGATAGAAGCACAAACACTGTATATCTTCGCATTAATTGATATGTACACTCTTACATCTTCACATCATTTGATATTCACACTCTTACACCTTAAACTCAGATAATAACCACAGAGAAAAAGATGAAAGACAAAGGAAGCATGTCTAGAGGAGGAATATATTGATTAATAAAGTGGGAAAAGTGTTTCAGATTATCAATCATAGCTTTCTATATAGGGGTTTTGGGTTGCACATGACCTTTTTAATTAAAAGATTCTAAAGTAGATGTGAATAGGGACTTAATTGGGAAAAAGAAGTTCATTTGAAGACTAAAAATGCCAAAAGACCGTTCTTAAGGGACAAAACCTACAGATTGAGTAATAATCACACGTCAATTTTAGTAGTTCACTCTGAAATCAATAACTATTTATGTGTGATTTGCGAAAGGGGTCGCACTCACCTCGGATGAAACTATGAATTGATACATTGCACTCTGACAAAATATTAACAGATTAGTGTACAAAATTTTAAGTAAAATAAAGTAGATAGCTTAATATAGAAGCAAAACCAAAATAAAATAAGAATCAGAAAGGATCAAGTTCAGTAAAAAACATAAAAGCTACCTGAGGCATACTATTTAAATCTCCACCAAGTATAGCAGGTATATTTCCCCATTTCTGTGAAAGTCTATGAGCCTTCGCAAGAAATAATCGTACCTGCAACATTGAGATGAATGCATTTCCTCAAAATAGCTGTACACCAGATTAAAGAATCAAGTTCACAACCACAGACAAGTACACCGCACATACATTGCAAAAGATGTTAACGTATTAATCGATTATTTTAAAGATTTGGGACGTCTCAGTTGAAGACAAGTAAACCGGCAGGTGAAAAATGTCACCCCACCAATCAGAGCGCCCTGGTAATTCACCAGAAGTTACAGGTAAGTAACCGGAGGGTGAAAAGTTTTGTCACCAAACAAACCCACATAGAGGTAGGGTCTAGGGGTATACCTTTCCTCTACCCCAAGGGGTAGAGCACGAAGAGCTCCAGCTTGTCACCACCAACCGTATACGCAGATATCACTCTTATAGTAAGAATTTTCCATGCAGATGTCGACTTGACTTCTAACAGAAGCATCTCCAACGGAGTTAAGAATCATCATATAACCCCAAGTGATCTAGGACAGTCTAGTGTTTTCCGTTCTATTCTCGGCCATTCATGTTTCTTATAATCTACAGTTTTCGTGATACATCCAAGACCTACCAACTTTAAATGGATAAACTAACTTGCAAACGTACCTGACCCAACTTAACATCCCCACGACTTGGATTGAAAAGCACATGTATATTTCCAACCAATATGCTTCGGGAGGGTTGCACCCTACAGATATAGAAAACAATTATGTCGTTGCAGTATGCTAGACATTAAGGTTCAAAGTCAATATAAAGGGAAGAAGATAAACAGTCACCAAAGATACCGTAAAAACCATTAAAACAAGTTGTTTGCATGATTTGAAGATAACAGAATAAATGTTTTCTTATTCCTGTTTAACTATTCCACCTTCCTTTTTTCTTATCCTTTCTGTATGTGTGTGATGGGTATGCCTTAGGTTGCAGGATTAACAGTTCCATAAGGAACAAACTTGGCACATTTTGCAAAGACAAAAAACAAGAGTGAGTCCATCAAAGAATGAGAGCGAATAACTGATAACTTACTTTAGGTTTTCAGGGTCATCAATATGTTTCTGGTATGCAGTCATCTGTGTTTTACATGACAGAAAGTCAATAGGTATTGCCACAAGAAAATATTATGACCAGAACAGGCCTGAAACACCGACCAGTGTAATAGCCATATATAGAGAGAAAGAGACCACAATTAAAAGTAAATAATCATAAATTTGTCGAAACTTTAGATTTAGTATTTAACTTCTATGAATAGAAGTAGTTAAAAGTTGCAGCTTTGTATTATACGACTTTTGATGCTACCTTTTAAGAAGATCAATTAACGAAGACAAACAATGTTCCAGTTCTTTAATGGTGACAAAATTAACTATAGAGGAAAAAGAATCAATCCAACTGAATTCGTTACTGACTCCATCCTACTAAATTAGTGAACACTTGACCCTTGAGGCCAAACTAATGAAAGCCTTCTAGCATTACCAAATGCCCACAAGACCCAAGACGGGAAGATACATTTGTGGATGCATATCATGGAAAAATTAATCCTAATTTTGATTCCTTACTCTCAAACTGAAAAGTAAATTCTTTTTGGACCAACATCAGTAACCCTCTTGTAGTAAATACTGGAGGTGAACAAGTAATCTATGGTAACAGAAGTCCATAGAAAAAGTTTGCAATGTATATGAGGTCCCTCAGGAAGGATGAGTTTCTTCAGTAACGGGGGAGTGATATAAAAAAGAAACAAATTTAATCATAATTGTTTCAAAGCTTGCAGTTGTTGGAGCCTCTAAAATCAATTTCAACCCATAAGATTGTTATATATAGTATGTCCCTTCATACCTTTAGAACACAAAATTGAGCAATATTGTCACGAAGGCCAAACCGCTTGAACTCGATGTTGTCCTTATGTAGAAGAGAGAATCTGTACCACAATATGGTATCCCGGAGGTTAAATATGCAATGCTTCAAAAACTAAATAAATAAATTACGTCAAGTCTAAAGGTCAACAATCTGTAGCTTCTAAGCAAGTCACTGGTTACTTGTTGCCCATCAACTTCTAATGCTATCCAAAAGAAAACTTGAACTGATAAGTCCTTTCAGAGCTTCCATTCATAGATATACATATATCACATACATCATCCGAGATGCATTTTTCCATTATGCCCGACTCCCCAAGTTACCCACCAAGATTTCTCAATCAGTAGTGAAGAAACTTGTCATCTTACTTCCTGCCTTACTAACTTTGTACCAAACCTGTGTTCTAGTCCAGCCAACTATAAGATATCATCAGCAAAATGCATGATATTGTACCACATGATGTCATATATGTCCAGTGCTTTACCCAAAATAAAACAGAACAAAGAGAAAACGTAAAAAGTAAAACGAAAAACAAAAGAACAAAACCCACCTCGTAGGCGTTTATGGATAACTTGAGGTAGTCCATCAGACGGCCCACAGTTTCTATAAAAAAAATCTACCTATGGCTATGCAAGATCGCATTTCAATCGTAAATGATAAAGAGTTCCTACTTTCTAACTCAGTAAGAAATTCACTTCGTCGTTCAAAATAACTTCAGAACTCAAAACAGAAATCCACTTCATATTCAACACAAATCTCATAGTCTTCACAGTTAACACCATGATTGACAATGACACAGGCCAACACATCGATAAGAGCAAGGCACGTAAGAATGCGTCATGAGACTCACTATACTTGACAACCTCGAGTATTATCATGTCAAGAAGTCACAGCAACGGCATAGATGCAGTGTGTAAAGATAACAAAAATAAACACTGGTACGTCGCTGTTTCACTTCCCAAGAATATGAAAAATGAACTGCTTACAATGCATCTTTCCAAAATATAGCACACCCATCACGTGCTTCCCCAGAACGAGCCTTGCAGATAAATGAGGTTTTAATCAATTCTCGAGATGCTACAAAGAGTCACACAACAGATGCAGGGAAATAAAATAAACCTGGTAAACTCCTCTAAACCCATCCTTCTGTAAAATTCTTTTCAAATCATCAAAACGGTCAACCTCCTGCAGCCATACAAGTAACCATGATAAATATAACCAAATCAACTGAACATAGAAAAATATTGCCTGTAAACATCAATTTCAAAAGGGTACAGCCCTCTAGCAACACGCTATATCGGAAGTCAGAACCTTAGCTTAGTAAGTACAAATTATGACCGCCAGCACATTTGTACTTGATGATAAGAGATGGATAATCATCCCATGAGCAAAGTTGCCTCAGAACCACAGTGTGGTGAATGAATGTTGTCACATTGGGCCCCTTATATCAGTCAGCAAGGATAGGATTCTCATTTCCTTGGTGAACGTCATAATGACATCTGAGCATGGTGACAAATGAGGAAGGGCCTTCATACATTATCAAATGATCTTGATAGATCTATGGGGAAGTATCCTTGACAATAGAGTACTATACCAATAGATAGTAAAACAAGAAGCTGAGGAAGCTATTTGATACCCTAAGTAGAAGACTGAATATAGCATGCATTCAGAAAACTGAATAGTGCAAGGAAATCAAAGAGAATGGGTATTTAAGTAGGGTGCCTTAGGAAAGATGAAATTAGTCTACATGGGTTTTAGTTTTGAAACCATTACGTGGATTTCCCTTCCAATTTTCTTACTAAGATGACAATACTCGATATTAGGGCATCTCCAACGAACACTGAGAGGTAGCCTTGCTACCACCCTCAGGTGGATTAGGGGTCACCTGCTTCTTAGACTTCTTCTTCGATTCGAGCAAGTCGACCATAAGGTGAATCGATGACCTGACTGAAGCCATTCCTAGCCACCATTGCTTTCGAAAGAGTCTGTCTTTACTTGGAGGGGAAGGGCGTTGCAGATGTCCGGGACGGACACAACTTCTTCTAACGCTAGAAGACCACCTTTTCCATCAAACCTATATTTTACACTATGTCCATCTTTAGTAAAATTAAAAACAAGAGTAAATTACATGCTTGGTCACTGTGGTATGCACTTTAATATGGATCGAGTCCCACACTCTAATGACCATCAATCCTTTATGTTAAGTGTGGGCAATTATGTCATTTTACGGTTTTCTCTATTTTAACATTTTTATAATTATTCTTTTTTCTTTTCATTAATTTTCATCTATAAATATATATATATATCTACATACACACACCACCGCCTATGAAACACCACCGCCCGCATCCATTTCCATTGGTGACCCCTTCCCCACTTCTCTAATGAACATTTACGAAACCTTCCCAACGGTAAGTAAACAAGTATTTGAAGAGAAATCAGAAAGCAAACTGCCTCGACATTGAAGGCAAGCGGAGTGAAACAAGAGCCATGCATCAATACAATCCATATGAAAAGGACGGCTATATTTAAGTAATTTGAAGCTTATCTTCACCACCATGCTCACACAAGACACAGCACAAACAAAAGGGTTTATTTCACGCCAATGTTAAAGGGGACCATATCAAAAGCACCTTGCATAGTAAGTGAATGACCGTTGCCATTTTGATCAACCACAATCACAGGTCTACTCCCATTCCCATTATCCACATTAGCAAAACTAAACCTCTTTGTTTTCTTGTGCAGATTCTCTTCTATCTTGATATTGTCCCAAGTAATGTGCTTTCTCAAACTCTTGACTCGATTAATATCGCCATACACAAGGAAAAAGGAAGTGACCCAGATGCCAAAAACACTGAAATCCAGATAAGAGAGACGGAGATGTTACGCACCCACCAATCTGAAATACGTATGCTAGGTCAACCAGCAACCAATCTAACCAGGAGGGGACCAACAGCAAAAAGAAACTGTAATCAGGGATTATATTATTCCTTTTAACTTGTGTATTACAAAGAAAGAATACAATGATATATATAGATAAAAAAACCTATACCAAATAGAAACCCTAAGGCCCATAGGCTTAATGGACCTAAGTAAATATATACCGTATTTACATTCTAACACTCCCCTTCAAACTGGAGCATAGATGTTAATTATGCCCAGCTTGTTACAAATAAAAGAGATTCGCGAACCAGGTAATGCTTTGGTAAAGACATCAGCAAGTTGTCTTCATGTTCGAACAAAGGGAGTTGAGATGATTCCATCTTCTAGCTTATCACGAGTGAAATGGCAGTCAACCTCGATGTGTTTTGTTCTTTCATGAAACACAGGATTGTTTGCAATGTGGATAATCGCCTCATTATCACAATATAGATTCATTGATTTAGATTGAGCAAACCCAATTTCACCTAGCAGATTACGCAACCATATCAGCTCGCAAGTGGTTTGGGCCATAGCCATTATTCAGATTCAACACTTGACCGCGAAACGACATTCTGTTTCTTGCTTTTCCACGAAACTAGATTCCCTCCAACCAACACACAATAGCCTGTCATAGACAGCCTAGTAGGATCCCCATTATAGTCGGCATCTGTGAACCCTTCTATGACATGATGACTGTGATTTTGATAAAGGATACCAAGACCAGGAGCACCCCTTAGGTACTTCTATATATATGCCTAACAGCATCCCAATGTGTTCTTAGAGATGACATAAACTAACTTGCTACACTCACTGGAAAAGCGTTGTCAGGACGTGTAATCGTCAGGTAGTTTAGCTTTTCCACGATTCTTCTGTACTTTTCTGGATCCTCAAGTAGATCTCCATCGTCCGCTTTCAATTTCATATTTGGAATCATTGGGGCCTCACAAGGTTTTGTTTCAATCATACCATAGTCATTCAATATGTCCAAACAATATTTTCGTTGAGACAAACATATCCCTTTTTCGAGTACGAGATACTTCAATTCCTTAGGAAGTATTTTAAAGGACCTAGGACCTTTGTTTGAAACCGAGATGCAAGGAAATGTTTTAGCTTCTTGATCCCATTCTCATCATTCCCGACAATCACAATGTCATCAACATATACCACTAGTAGAACACATCCAAAAGATGACGAAGTAAAGAACACAGATTGATCATAAGAGCTCCTCCGTAAACCAAACTCAGTCACTACGGCATTAAACCGTCCAAACCAAGCACGAGGGGATTGCTTTAAACCATACAATGATTTACGCAGTTTACAGACTCTACCAGACTCCCTCTGAGCAACAAACCCAGGTGGTTGCTCTATATAGACTTCCTCATGTAAATCACCATGCATTAAGGCATTTTTCACATCTAGTTGGTGTAGTACCTAGTCGTAAGTAGCGGCTAATGAAACAAACAGGCAAATGGAGGGTACCTTAGCCACGAGAGAAATTGTCTCGTGGTAGTCGACCCCATAAGTCTGAGCATATCCTTTGGCTACCAATCGGGCTTTCAGACGAGCCACGGATCCATCTGGATTAACTTTCACAGTGAATACCCATTTACAGCCACTTGCCTTTTTGCCTGCAGGTAACTCTACCAAATCCCATGTATCATTATGATCGAGAGCATTCATCTCATCAATCATAGCATCCCGCTATCCAGGATGGACTAAAGCTTCACCAACCGTTTTAGGAACAGATAAAGAATCAAGTGTAGAGATCAAAAAACGAGAACGTGGAGAAAGTTTATCATAGGAAACAACAGAAGAAATAGGGTAAGTACATGAGCGCTTACCTTTCTGAAGAGCAATGGGAACATCAAGATCAGGAACTTGTGTATCGGAAGGTGGTGGATCACCCAAAGTAAGAGGATCATCATTAGGCAGATATATGGACGATGATGAAGATGGTGTTGGGTCGAGATCTGATGTAGGTCGTTGCCCTATTATATACATGAACTATCGGTGGTTTGGTAGGCTCATGGGTCTGTGTCGAGTCGGATGAGGTAGTAGACTCAGAAATAGGTATGATATACACCAAAAATCATCACTATCGCTTGGGTTGCAAGGAGTGGACATAGGAAAGAAGGGTATATTCTCATGGAATGTAACGTCTCATGATACAATGTATCAATTAAGCATGGGGGAAAAACACTTATACCCTTTTTGAAGTCGAGAGTAACCAAGAAAAACACATTTCAGAGACTTTGGATCCATCTTAGTTATGTGAGGTCGGGTTTCGCGGACAAAACAGGAACTACCAAAGATCTTTGATTATACAAAAAACAATGATTTTGTAGCAAAACAAAATTGAAAAAGGACTTTTACCATCCAAGACAACGGAAGGCATTCGGTTGATAAGAAAACAAGCAGTAGCAACTGTATCAGCCCAGAAGACTTTAGAAACAGTCATGTGAAATAATAAAGCCCAAGCCACCTCTACGAGATGACGATTCTGTCATTCCGCAACCCCATTTTGGGCTGGTGTGTCAACACGGAAGACTCATGAAGAATCTCATTTTGAATCATATATCACTGAAATGTTTGGGACAAATATTCTTTTTCATTATCACTACGAAGAGTTTGAATGAAGCTTTAAACTGGTTTTTAATCTCAACATAGAGTGAACAAAAATGTGTGAATACCTCAGATCGATTTTTCATAAAGTAAAGCCAAGTAGTGCGAGAGTAATCATCAACAAACATAACAAAATACTTAAACCCAAGTTTTGAAATAACAGAACATGGTCTCCTAACATTAGAATGGACTAACTCAAATGGGGATGAGGCCCGCTTATTACAGACTCTAGGACTTATATGAATACGCTGATATTCAGCAAACTGACAAGACTCACATTGTAGGTGTAGAGAAGGTAAATAAGAAAACTCAGGACACAACTTCTTCAGATTCTGTAGAGATAGATGACCTAATCGACAATGAACAAGTCAATGAGGAAGGTACTTGATGTTCAAATATGTATAGGCCATCAGTCTCCCGCCCTCTACAGATAATCCTCTTCGTCGACAGATCCTGAAAGACATAGAAATCAGGAAAGAACGAGACACAACAATTCAAAGCACGGGCAATTTTACTGACTGATAACAAATTGAACGAGAAATTAGATAGGCTCAATACGGAAGTTAACAAAACAGACGTGGTAAGATCGATGGTGCCAGAACCAAGGACAGGTGTGGTAGACCCGTCAGCAATTGTGACATGTGATGAGAATTTGTGTTTATTGAAATTAGAGAAGTTGGTGGGATTACCTGTCATGTGATTTGAAGCACCTGAATCAATGACCCATTTGGAGACAGAAGATAATAGGCATGTACTAGAGTTACGTGTCTCAGCAAATGTAACAGTCAAAGCAGTGGAATTCTCAGTCCCTAAAAGTCAAGCATATTCTTCTGCGGGTATAGTAACAGTACTATCTAAGGCAGGCAACGTGCACTGATGAACTCCTCGGATGTCTAGCCAAAAGCTTTTTCCTTGTGCGCTTGGTGTGACCTAACTCATGGCAGTAGTAACACTCAACATTATCAGAATCTGGAATGGTAGCCCATGAGTCAGTTGTTCGGTCACTGTGGCCACCTCTAGAGCCACCATGGTGACCCCCAAGAAATCCTCCTCGGTAGCCACCACAAAATCCCCCTCGATCAACCAAAGCACTGTTGTGATCAGAAGTTTGAGAAGCCTAAAGGTTCTCATTCCTAAGAACACGGGCAAATGTTTCTTGAAGAGAAAGAATAGCAGATTCATTCAAGAACTGAGATTTGATAGAGTCAAATTCTGGTCGCAAACCAGTCAAGAAAAACTGATAATAGCCACTTGTACCCTATGAGTCGGCATGACTTTGACATCAGCACTTAATGGAAGAAGAGAGTTAAGCTCCTCATATATTTTCTTGAACTCCATAACATACGTAGTGAGTAATCGGTAATGTTGTTCTCCACGATGAAAGGACTTATAAACACTATAGATTCGAGAGATGTTACTTTGTCCAGAATACAAAAAATAAGATAATCCATAAGTTCATTCACATATTCACAGTAACTAACCAGAGACGAAACAAAAGCTCAATAGTATTGATAATTTGCACGTACAAACGAGCATCACTTTGGAACCATGAATCAGAACCGTTACCTTTAGGAGGATCGATGTGAGATGAGAAGTCATTCCCATGCTCCGAAAATAGATACAAATAGTTTTGCTCCACTCAAAGTAGTTTGAGCCATTAAGCTTGTTGTCGGTGAGCTTAACATTTACCAGAAGCATCTCGGGTACACGTAAACTACTGTTACTCTCATATGTTTTGTCTTCTCCAGTCATCTTCCAATAAATCACGAACTAGAAGAGACAACGTAGAACTTAGGATGAAGGATAGCAAACCAGAAAGCAAACGACGCACTCACAGGGTGCCAAAGAGACCGACGAACAGAAAACTTCTGATCCAAGGAAACTGAAAATGAAGCATTTAAAACAAAAAACAGCAGCAGAAAGCTTGTTGTCGACCAAATTAATCAAGCAAAACAACCTCGAATCACAGCCGCACCAAACAGCCGAGGAAGCAGCACCTAAACGCAAACAAATCTGAAGTCGTGAGGAAGAAAAACACGCCTAGATCTGGATTAAAAAACCAGCAACAACCAGATCCAGACAGCAGCAAATCGTAAACCAAAATGCCTAGAATCAAGAACCCTTGCTGCACAAGAAACCCTAATAAAAACCTACTAGTCGTATCTTTGAAACACGACCAGACTTCAGAGTTAGCAAACAACAGCCACAAGGAACATATCACAGGGGTAAACTGAAGCCCACAAACAACCAGCAACACCAATACCACACAAGAAAGAAACCAAAACTAGAAGAACAAGAACCCTAATTGAAGAACAAAAATTCCGATCCGTGAAAACTAGTGATTGTTACGAAACCGAGCTCTGATACCATGTAATCACCGATTATATACAAAGAAAGGATAGAAGGATATATATAGACAAAAAACCTAGAGAAAAGAGAAACCCTAAGGCCCATAGGCTTAATGGGCCTAAGTAAATATATATCGTATTTACATTCTAACAAAAACATTTGAGCAGTAAGAAATAAGGGCAATCATGGATTTTCCTCATGAATATAAATAGCGAAGAGTAGAAGATGAGTGGTTTGTAGAAAGTTATTTTTTCTATCCACCTTGGGACAACGTAGTTCTTTGGGGGCGGGGAAATACTATGCATTCACCCACCTTGAGAACAAGGTGGTTTTTTGGGTAGGAATAAAGGCCAGATGATTCAATTAACAAGAAAAATATAGAAAACTTGCTTTTCAAGAGGCTAGACTCTCCCAAGAACAGACTCGATAATTTTTTGCATACCACTCATCTCGTACAATCCACAATCTATGCTCAACCTACTAACAAGATATTGAGAAAAATCCCAAAGTTACATTTATTCTTATCTGCTCATTATCTTCATTTTGTTGTTGGTCCCCTTCAGAAGATCTGCTGATGGTTGTCCTAGCATACATATTGTTGATGGGTGGGTGCATAACAAGATAGAATCCATGCAAGTGGGGACGCGATGGTGGATATGAAAGCCAAAGTTGTTAAAAGGCTCGAGGTGCAAAGGGTCCTGGGGCCTATGGGCAAGGTGCAGGTGTGGGGGGCCAGCCTCAGGAATGTGAGGCGCATCCTATAAAAAAAGTATATATATATATATATACACACACAAAACACCCAATTATACACAACTCAAATATGGGGCAAGTACTCTAGTGCAACAACACAACCAGCAGTATTTCGATAGAGGCAGAAGAGTTTAAAGCGTGAGCCATGAGGGAGAAGTTTTAAGGTCTGGAGAGGCTTGAAGTTATATAAGAATTGGGTAGCTAATATTAGAGTTTGACATATTTCATCTATTTAGTAACTTTTTTCTTAAGAAGTCTAGAAGATAAGAAGATGAGAAAACTTATCTCATATTGGAGTTTGACCTGGTATTTAATTACTCTTTGTAAGGCACTCCTAGGCCCTCAGCTCAGGTTCATGATATTTATGTCTTGTTGAATAGATGAATATATGTGTTTGGGACTTATAACTAGTAAGTCTATGACTTTTATGACTTTCTTAGTTCGTTATGAGATTATGCTTTACATATTATATCTTTTATGAATTTTAATTGTTTTCCGTCTTAGGGCTTACGCCTCACCTCATGATTCTGTGCTTTAAAACCATGATGTGTACATATATATATATATATATGTGTGTGTGTGTGTAATGTATTATAATATATAAAATATATGATATAATATAATATAATATTTTTAACTTCTAATAGAAAAATACCAAAAGCAAAGAGAGTACAAAGACCAAAATGTCCCCTAAGTTAATAGAATCCATTAGAGGGAGGGACCAAATCCATGGCAAAATGCATACCACAAGACCAAGCATGTAATATATATATATATATATATATATGTGTGTGTGTTGAGAACATTCCATTTTAGTGTAAGAAATAGTGCATAACGTTGGAGAACAATCGGTGTTTACAACATTCTTTACACTAGAGATGGTCTTAGAAGACAAAGGTAGGCTAAGCCAAACTTGCCATAAGTGGATGTTCTCCATGATCACCACAAAAAGACAAACCTTTGTCTTATCTAAAGTTGATAAGAGTATAACTAACTTCTAAATTTGAGAAACATTCGTATTATAACAACATCCCTTCCCAACCCTCGCAAATTTGAGAAGCCTTAATGAATCAAGGTTGCCTTTTATAATGAGGAAATGCTTAACATGATAGAACACCAAATCCAAATTTCAAGTCTTAAATCTCAATTGTGTTATAACTCATCTAAATTAAACCAATTTTAACAACCCAAGAATCACTAACAAAAACCTATGAAAGTCCAGTGAAGCAATCAAAAAAGGAACTCGATCAATCTATCATACATAATTCCATCTTCACAAAATATAACACAATTTGCTGAAACTTTAGGCTAAATTGCATCAAAATGTAACCAACTTTGTTCTCATTAATACTTCAACCAATTTTCAAAACTTTTTCCCAAAATGGAACCAACAGACATGTTCCCAAATCCGATACCAAACAAAAACGGTTCCATTTTTGTTTCCAAATGAGACTTTATGAGAGTTGGTTCCATATGTTTTGGTTCTTCAAAATAAAGATTTTAAAACTTGGTTCTCAAAAAAATCGGGAGATAAAATTGGTTTCATTTTGATGCAATTTGCCCAAAATTGTATGAAAAGAAGCTTCTATCTCATACTTTTATATTACTTAACCAGCGGTTATTATGGAGCTTATCATTTGAAAAGCAAATTGAAATTCTGATACAAATTCAAACCACAATGCAAGACGATTGAAACTTGCCTGGAAACACAAAATGCTAGGACTATACCGAGCAATCTCCTTGCGTATCACCCTTCTTCTGTATTCCCATTTCATAAACTGCGGAAGTACATTCAAGTACAAATCCTTATGGTTTGAAGCATTTTCAACACCCAGTATATTATATGACACAAACACAAACTTATCTGCAACACGATTGAATAAATTTATCAAAAAAAAAAAATCAGCCGAGATTGCATAAAGATTAGAAAACTGAAAGTCACCTTTGTATTTAGAACAATCACGTGGGGAAAAAACCCATTTGCGATTATCAGCTACACCATCAGAATTTCCTCTATCGGACTTCTTCTTACGCCTGCAAGTATGTGTATGGTTTGGGGTTAGGGTTAATGGTTCCGTTTCTATGGTTAATTTTCGTTTCTTTCGGGTAAGACGTTGTTGACGATCGGTAGAATGAGATTGTTCTGCCATTAGATGTTGTCCGTGCTTCAAATCAAGATATGGTAGACAGAGTTTGTGCCGCCGGTAGGGTTCGAGCTCAAAACATTGATTGGAATTCGCATGCGAATATTGCCCCCTTTGCACATCTGGCAAGGGGTGTTTGAATATGGGGCGCACAAAAACCCTTCGACCCGGCCAACCCGTGCCAGATTACCCAACTCCCCTAAAGCTACAAGATACTAGATCTATTTAATTTTTTATCCATTAAATTCTAAATCTTTAAATATTAATCGGTCAGTATATTAGATCTATTAAGTTATTTCTAAATATTAATCTTTCGGTATAATAGATCTATTTAAGTTGTCTTTAAACATTAACCCGTCTTGAATTCAACAAATTCATAACACAATGTTTAGGGGTGTTTGGGATTACTTATTTGAAACAACTTATGTTTTTTTTTACAAAAGCACTTATCAACGTATTATAAGTCAGAAGAGTTTAACTTCTTTAAAACTACTTATTACCGGTTTGGCACTTGTATAAGTTGTTTATCCAAACACTCAAAAGTATTTATTACCGATGTCACACCAGAATAAGTAAATAAGTTGTTTTTATAAGCAATCCCAAACACCCCCTTAATAACTTAAAATATATTTAAAAAATAAAGTATCATTGTTTGATTATAATTTTTAATTTATATATGTTGGTAAATTATTTATTTTTTTAACTAAACGTGTGATTTTAGGTTGTAGGACAAGGGTAACTTTGGTAAAAATTCGAACTTAATGTATTAAGATAATATAGCATAACTTAACGTATTAAATCAGTCTCTTAGTATTAGGTTAAAATCAGAGTGCTAATATAACTTAATCAATTAAGATAACCACTCATTAAGTCCATTAAGTTGAAAACAAGCATCCCCTTAGTTGAGTTGTAAATTCTTTTAGACTAAATTACGAATTTCGTCCATGTGGTTATGTTAAAATTTGGATTGGGTCCCCTAAACAAAAAAAGTACATGTACAGTTATCATGGTTTCACTTTTGTTATGGATTAAGTCCCTTGCCCCTAACACCCAGTTAACTTTAACTGATTTAAATTGAGGGTATTTTGGTATTTTTACTTTTTTTCTTTTAAAAACATAGATAATTTCTATATTTCTATAATGGATACCCCTTCTCATGTCATCTTTTCAAGTCCCCACCCTTTTTCGGTCATCTTCTCCAGCCACCATCCCTTCTACGGTCATTTTCTCTAGCCACCACTCCTTCTCGGGTCACCTTCTCCGGCCACCTTCTCTGGCCACCACCCCTTCTTTGGTTTTCTCTAGCCACCACCCCTTCTCCGTTCACCTTCTCTGACCAACGACCACCATCCCTTCTCCGGTAATCTCACACCAAAAAGCACCAAATAAGTCCAAA